GGGGGGCGGCACATGACATCACTGGCTTAATAAAACACTGGAAGGTGAGTCTGTTGTTGTATGTCTTTTTACACTTCCCGTTAGTATTGTCTTTTAAAGCCTTGCTGCTCTATCTCTACTCAGAAAAACTACATTAAAGCATTGCTAGGTAACACTGAAAAAGTCAGCAAGAGTAAGCAGGTCTAACCAAAATAAACACTATTTTTTCCAAAGGAAAACTAGCAGCAATAAAAGCCATTGACTTATTATTGCACCAACAGTTAATTCATTTATTCTATAGGATTCATGTGTTTTATGTTGATGTATTAAATGCAGTTGGGATTTAAAGAGTAGTTTAGTCTAGATGAATACATATGTTTAAAACAAATCTAAAATATATAACCAACCCTTGGTGTAATGTAAAATATGTAATCGTGTTAGAAAAGGGCTGTAATAAAGGAAGTATTCAATGAAACCTTGCCCAGGGCTGCAGTCTCCCCCTTGATCAGTTCGGCTATAAATAGACACAGTGACTGTTCTTGGGCAGACCACTGTACTGTGTGCTGTTTGTATGTGCATGTGAATGTGTGTGTGTATCTTTAAGAATTCAGCTGTAATTTGAGCCCCGGAGGAGAAAGAGAGAGGGTGCCCCCCCCCCCACACACACACACAGCAACGCCCCCATGGATTCTATAATCGAGCGTCGAGCTGCAGGATCCGCGTTAACGCACGCGTCTCCTCGGATGGGATCCTCGGTAAACACCGCATAGCTGCCTCCGACGCGGAGCTCCAGCCCTGCATCGTCCCCCACAAGTTGTTAGCGTGTGTGCGTATGTGTGTATGTGTGTGTGTGTGAAGCAAGAGGCGGGCTTCTCTTGTTTATCTAAAAATGACTCGACATGACTCGAAATACACGGAAAACGACCCTTGGAACCGTAACCGGCTGCGAGAGTGAGGCGCAGATCATCTGAATGAAAGTCAGAAGGTAGGTGATGTATTTCCTCCTCCTAGAAGGCTGGTCCCAGCCACCAGGCCAGTGTCTTTTTTCCCAACACATTTCCCGTAGCTGTGGCGTCAATTGGCCTTGTGCGTGTGCTATGAGATGCCTTGCGTAAAAGAACCAGAGTTCTCCTATAACAACATTATTTAGCGATCCTCCTCTCTAAAAGGCAATCCGGTGATGCACACGGTTATTTTCGTTTCATCGTTTCCTCTTTGAAACAGGTCCAACCGTCTTACGCAAGCGCACCTTGGTTGCATGATATGGAGCTTGCAAAACAATTTTACAGGAAAAACCTGTTAATTCCAATTCACTGGAAATACACACCACTTCCAAGAAAATGTAAAGGCATTTCTTCAAGGCAGGTCCAAACTAAATCCTTATCAGACGACACTAAAACAGTGGGTGCTGGATAGCACTCATTAGTTTGGAGTTAAATACTCTAAAGTTATTATTTCCACCTTGTTATAACTAGATACATCTGCCCGAAGGACTGCTCTTTGTTTTTTGGAAATGGGATTTTCAAAATAATGGTTGTTGTGATGCCTTGCATGAGCCTTGATTGAAGGTGTATGTCCTTGTTTGTTTATTAGCACTGGTCCACCTTGATTTTGACATTCATGTTGATTCACTGATTGAAAAAAATGATTAGATCTTTGATAAAGAAACACTTCACAAGGCAAATGTGTTAGAAAGCAGATTGTTTAAGACTGCTGGTGCTTGGTTCACCA